AGAATAAAAGAAAATAACACCCTATGTCGATTGCGACCGTGTTACAAAAAAAATACTGTCGTTTTTTTTTGTCATACACCGTTGATCAAATTATAGGGAGAAATAGCACCGCCAAAGTTTTGAATACGGTGCCCTTTCAGCGTCAAAGATGACAGAATTTGGTGATATTATTTTCGAATTGTTTATTTCGCTATAACCTAAGGTGGTTAGCACGTGGAATATCTCGAACTTTGATTTTCGAGAAAATTGATGTTGAAAGTTGTGTTAAAACCCTCGTTGTGTCAGTTCTTTTTATTGTACCTGCATTCCTCGAATTACGACCAATCATTTAGTATCAGGCTTTACAAGGAATTGTGGTATTTCATATTTTTGTTGTACATAGATGACTTTGAAAAGACGCTTCACCGGAATTCCTCTGGCCAAAAAGAAGAAAAAGAAACAAAACAAACAAAGATAGCATGAGATAGAACTGTTTCTAAGAACCTCAATATATAACAGCAATTATTCAAAGAAAAATTTCCAAAAGCGCTCAGATTATCAAGTTTCTTCTTTTGTGACTTATCTTTTTATTTTATTTTTTCACGTGTTCTTTTAGTAACATGAAGTCAATGCATGTGTCCAAATCAACAGCACTGGTCCCAAAACCGAATAATTTCTTATTAGTTTTTCTTATAAGGTTTCAAAGAAAATTTTAAAAAAACTTACCTGGAAACGAATTTGTTACTAATTACGATGAATGCAGAACGTCAACAAATAATTGATTACAAGTATCCATTTTGCATTAGCTTATCAGTAACTGCGTACAGATATAGTGATGAACCACAAGTTTATATTAAGTTGTCCATGTCACACAGATATCTGTCAAGCCCATGCTAACTTAATACTTGTCAGTAACTGCGTACAGATATAGTGATGCACCACAAGTTTATATTAAGTTGTCAATGTCACACAGATATCTGTCAAGCCCATACTATCTTAATATTTGTCAGTAACTGTGTACAGATATAGTGATGCACCACAAGTTTATATTAAGTTGTCAATGTCACACAGATATCTGTCAAGCCCGTACTATCTTAATACTTGTCAGTAACTGTGTACAGATATAGTGATGCACCACAAGTTTATATTAAGTTGTCAATGTCACACAGATATCTGTCAAGCCCGTACTATCTTAATACTTGTCAGTAACTGTGTACAATATGTTATGATGTGATGCACCACAAGTTTATATTAAGTTGTCAATGTCACACAGATATCTGTCAAGCCCATGCTATCTTAATACTTGTCAGTAACTGTGTACAATATGTTATGATGTGATGAACCACAAGTTTATGTTAATTTGTTGATGTCATACAGATATCTGTCAAGCCCGTACTATCTTAATACTTGTCAGTAACTGTGTACAATATGTTGTGATGTGATGAACCACAAGTTTATGTTATTTTGTTGATGTCATACAGACATATTTCAAGCCCAAACGTATATATTTTCGAGATGTGATGATTTTCATCTGTAACAATGCCTCAATATAATATCGAACATGGCCTGGGGATTAACGTGTCGGGCTGCGGATCGAGGGTCCGGAGTTCGAGACGTGGTTCCGCTGAAATTTTGTATGTTTTATAAAAGTGACAGTTAATCCCTTCAGTCGATTCAAATTGTCATTTCAAAGCCCATGTGGCGGCAGGTGCGGCTGGCTAACTCGATTCCCTCTGGTCGTCAGTTCATAATTATGGATGATTATACATGAGCCCGAGGGAGTCTCTGATGTGGACATTTAGCCCACGTGTTCGTAAGGCGTCATTTAGGTTCAAAATTCCTGTTTCTTAAATTCAATATTGAAATGTGCAAAAGTAAAGTCTAAATAAACCATTAAAGCTGCAAATATCCTTAGCTTTATTCGCTTATATCTTGAGTACAAAGTCATCATGGAAGCATAAGGATATTAAACTTGTTCAGCTGTCATCAACGTAGGTTATCTGAACTCTTAGTCGTCATCGCACTGAACAATCACCACGAAAATGCATGTACCGCAATGTTTGTAATTGTCAGGGACACTGAGAATAAAACGTTGGAGAGGAGAATGTGGTATTTCCTGAAATCGTTTGCGTTCATCTTCCGTATATAATTGTGCGCTTGAAGAGAAATTAATTTTAAGAAAAGTATTCGTAGGTATGGCATAGCTACTAAGGCTATCTGCCGCCGTCCCTCATATCGAAATACTGACCAGAGGAAAGGTAGCCAGTCAGCAGCACATTACTATTCACGCTAAGGGATTGGCTATCACTCTTATCACGCACCCATAGCTTAAAGTGCGGGAAATTTTATGTTATCGCACGGGTTCGAATCAGGATAGCCATCTTCGAAATCCGGACCTCTACCCCAGGTCCAACCCGTGCCCTAGGTTGGAAAGAAATAACCGTTTTTGCCGAAGTAGAAAAGTAAGAGAAAACTGCGACCTTTCTAGTGTCTTGTATTTATTATTGTTTTCTAATACAGGTTACTTCGTGTTTGATTTTGTATTTAATAGTGTTTTCTAATACAGGATACTTCGTGTTTGTTTTTGTATTTATTATGATTTTCTAATACAGGATACTTCGTGTTTGTTTTTGTATTTATTATTGTTTTTTAATACAGGATACTTCGTGTTTGTTTTTGTATTTGTTATTGTTTTCTAATACAGGATACTTCGTGTTTGTTTTTTTATTTATTATTGTTTTCTAATACAGGATACTTCGTGTTTGATTTTGTATTTATTATTGTTTTATAATACAGGATACTTCGTGTTTGTTTTTGTATTTATTATTGTTTTATAATACAGGATACTTCGTGTTTGATTTTGTATTTATTATTGTTTTATAATACAGGATACTTCGTGTTTGTTTTTGTATTTATTATTGTTTTATAATACAGGATACTTCGTGTTTGATTTTGTATTTATTATTGTTTTATAATACAGGACATTCGTGTTTGATTTTGTATTTATTATTGTTTTATAATACAGGATACTTCGTGTTTGATTTTGTATTTAATATTGTTTTCTAATACAGGTTACTGCGTGTTTGTTTTTGTATTTATTATTGTTTTATAATACAGGATACTTCGTGTTTGATTTTGTATTTAATATTGTTTTCTAATACAGG